TTTTTTTTTTTTTTTTTTTTTTTTTTTTTTTTTGGTACTGGGGATTGAGCTCAAGTTCTTACACTTGCAAGGCAAGTGGCGGAACCCCTGAGCTAAATCCCCTGCCCTAGGTATACATTCTTTTGATAGCAGATTAGGCAATGGTTTCTTATATATGAAACCAAAACACAAGTAACTCAAAGAAATAATAGATTGAACTTTATCAAATTAAAAGAAAAATTTTGCTTCATAGGACATTCAAGACAGTGAAAAGACAGCTGTCAGAATTGACAAAAATTTGTGGAAGTCACATATCTGATAAGAGATCAGTATCCAAATATACAAAGAAGATACACAAATGGCCCACAAGCCCTGTGGTTTCATCATTGGCCATTAGAGAAATACAAATCAAAACCATAGTAAAACACCGGGTCATACCCATCAGGGTGACTAAAATTTAAATAAAGGAAAATAAAGGTTGGTGAGGATGTACAAAAACTGGAACTCTAAGACATTGCTGATGGAGCTGTAAAACGGCGCGGCTACTTTTGAAAAATGTTGGAGTAAGTAGATCACTGGGAGCGTGACCTACTTTGAAGGGTTTATCTTGTGCTCAGTCCCTTCCTGTGTGTGGTCTTTCTCTCTTTCACCCTGCTGTCTGGCTGCCATGAGGTGATGGCCCTTCCGCCATGATGTTTGTGCCTCACCACAGGCCTAAAAATAACAGAGCAGGAAGACCGTGGACCGACCCTCTGAGACAGTGTGCCTAAATAAATTTTTCCTTTTAATCCATTTCCTGAGGTATTTTGTTATAACAACAAAAAGATGACTAATGACTTTCCATTTCCCTTTTTTTCTTCAGGGACTGAGATTGTGTCAGGGTGTAGACAGGAGCTGAGGCCTGGCCCATGTGCCTGTCAGGTCACAGAGGGGAAAAGCAGGGCTGGCATGAGAACCCACTAGTACAGTGCTGTCAGAACTGACAAATGACCCTCAGCCTCCATGTCTGGGAGGCAGTGGAGTGGTGGCCTGGGAGTCCTGGGTCTGCACGTCCCATGAAGACAGAGCAGCTGCCCAGCTTTAGTGGATTGGTTCGTTCTATGGGGGAAGGTGGGTCCAGGATGCCAGAAATGGTCATTTTTTGAGAGAAGTGGGAAATCCCAGTTTTAGGTTAGACCTCCTGCTTTTTTGAAGGCTGTAGATTCAAATGAATCAAAAGTATCAAAAAACTCCTGAGTCACAATTATAAAATACCATTTAACCATCATTCCAGTCTGCTGGGGCCAGGGGCTTCCCAGGTTAACAGCTTTATCTTAGGCTACAACCTCCTCAGATCCAACCTGCAATCCTTTTAGCATCACTAGCAGAGTCACCCAGATGGATTCCTGTGACCTTCCCTCATCCCTACCAGTGACATAGCCTGCCCCGAGCATGGATCACTGTGCAGATGGTGGAGCGATCCGCTGCTGACTCTGTTAGCTCCATTCTCAGAGGCTGGCACTTTCCTCATAGTGGTCCTCTGGCCACATGTGGGACTTTGATGCTCTTTGTTTAGAATGAGCCGTCAAGTGACTTCCACAGAATGTTGCAATTTCGAAAGTCCTATCACTGTGCATCGGGTGTGGCATCGAAGGCTGAGGAACCTGAGAGTCCTGAAGTTCAGGGTGTGTGCCAGAGCTCAGGCCAGCTTCTGCCTGGACTTGACTCTGAGCTCCTGACTGCAGAGGGACCGGCGAGTTGGCGTCAGACACGTGCGTCCCTGAGATAGGCCTCTTCCCCACGTGCTGGGCTAGGGGTCTCACCTTGAAGAAGCTAACAGTCAAGTAAGTCATCAGGAGGTTGGCAGAGGAAATGCAGTCAGGACAAAGGTGCTCAGGTCACCAAAGGACAGGCACAGTGGCTCTGGTGACAAGTACCGAGAAGGCCATTCTTCCCCAGCCCCGTCCCCCTTAGAGACAGCTGGGCTGGGGGCTTGTGGCCACCACAGGCCTTACTAAGGTACTCAACCTCCTTCTCTGGGACACCATTTGTCCGCTAAAGTGGATGTCCTGCCTTTTGCTCCAGGTAAGGGTCAGAGTAGTGAAGCCAGGAAAGTCAGTTTGACAAAACTTGTCTTAACTTCCCTGAGGGCAAGTGAATTCTACAAGGAGATCACCCTTGGCTACTAGAAAGCAGGATGCTTCTCTGTGTGCAAACGCTGCTCCCACCCGTTCCCTCCTCCTTGCTTGGGATGCCTTCTGGTTTCTGGTTCTTCCAGAGGTCCTTGTCCCTTCCGAATCTCCTTTTTGTGTCCCATTTACCTCATTATGATCCCTTGCAAGCCAGATGGTTTCTTACAAAAAGCTGAAGGAATTGGGATTTTGCTTGAGGCATAAAGAGTGACTTTCTCCAGGGAAGGAACATTTGCACTAGGAAGATTTTCAGAGACATGTCCCACTGTGTTGCTCAGGCTGAGCTGAAACTTTTGCTCCTCTTGCCTCAGCTTCCCAAGTAGCTGAGATTACAGTATGTTCCTTGGCACCTCGTCAGTTGCCTTGTCTTTCAAATAAAGTGCCCACTGTGTGTCAAGTAGCCTGTGAGTCCTTGTGGGTACCGTGATGAACAAACGGACACACAGCGTTCCTGTCCTCAGGCAGCATGCACCGGGGGATGGGGAGAAAGTATACACACCGCACACAGTCTATCTGTGCACCAAGAGACCTTAAAATGTGACTTAGCTTCTCCCAGTCAGTTTCCTGACGTGTAAAACAGGGATTTCACTACCACGCAGGGCTGACAAGGGAGTAGAAGAAAACCTTACATGCAAGGCAGACAATAGACACCCAGAGTGCGTCAGCCCCACAGCCTGCTCTCAGTGCTCATTCTGCTGGGCACCCTCTGCCCCCTGCACCCCTCTGGCAGTGGAGGGCACCTCCCCAGGGCCTCTCTCCTGCTGGCTGATGCATCCCTGCGGGTACACTCAGCCCTGGGCTCTGGGTGGCCCAGAGCCCGCTCCCTGGATCTGAGAGGGAGCCCAGACAGGCCCAGGCAGTCAGCGCCTCACTGTTGCCAGCCCTGCCCCAGGTGGGTGGGGAAGGGCAGCGTTTTCCCAGGCAAAGCCTTAGGGCTTGATTCTCCCCTTTCTGGTTGGGTTACTTTAGGAGCAGAGAACATGCAGGGAGCCATATCGTCACCCAGGAGGCTAAGAGACAGGACAGGGAGGGAAACCAGGCTCCTAGGGCCTCCTCCAGGCACAGCACCCCTCTCCAGCCACACGGGGTGGGTGGCACCTGCTGGGCAGGAGCACGGGGCGGGCCATGTGGGCTGGAGATGGGAGCTCGGCCACTGTGCTCGGGGCTCTAAATGTTCTCTTCCAGAAGGTGGAGAAAACGCCTTCACAGACATTCGTGATGATCCAGGGACACACAGAGTAATGTGTGAGGGCTCAGAATCGTGAGGCAAGATTCACCACATGGGGCCACGACACAACCCAGTCTAAAGCCCCCCAGAGGCATCCCCGTAGCTGCTGGGGAAAAGCATTTTAACACAGCCTGTGGCCAGCCGGCTTCTCAGCTCCCACCATCCGAGACGCACTGTTCTTACCCCTCTTTGTGTGGCCGAGCTCACACGGCCCTGGTCTCTCTCAGGTGCCCTTTCGGAGCCTGGACCTCCTCCTGCTGGCCGCTGCCGGCTCAACTTCAGTGGAATGTCCTCAGAGAAGCCTTTGCTGGCCACCCTCACTTTCCAGAGAATCTGATTCCTTGTCCTTTCCACCTTCAGTTTCTGCTTTGGACATCCTTGGAGAGCTGTGCGGCTGTGTGTGGTTGGTATACTTTCTCCCCATCCCTGGTATGTGCTTCCTGAGGACAGGAACTGTGTGTGTCTGTTTGCTCATTACGGTACCCACAAGGACTCACAGGGTACTTGACACACAGTGGGCACTTTATTTGTTGAAAGACAAGGCAAGTGATGAGGTGCCAAGGAACATACCTGTAATCTCAGCTACTTGGGAAGCTGAGGCAAGAGGAGCAAAAGTTTCAGCTCAGCCTGAGCAACACAATGGGATATGTCTCAAAAATTAACAAACAAACACAAATACTCTGGGGTTATAGCCCAGCCGGGGTTGGAGGGAGTAAGTGAATCAGACACAGCTTGACTTCCAGTCCCCTCATCCACTCCTGATAGCTGGAAGTCTGAGACTCTCACCATAACCCACCAGTTCACCCCAAAACCTCAGCTCAGGTAAGCACCTGCTCTATCAGAAGGATCCAGAGCTGATTTCCCCTCTTACTCTTCTGTCAAAACTCAAAATTCTGCTCACTTGCACCTCCCTCCAAGCTCTCTTCCATGACCCCAGAACTCACCCATTGGTTTCCAGTATGGTTGTTGTGGAGA